CTTATTTTGTGAGGAGACCAGCCCTGAGCTAACATCCATGCCAGTCCTCCCCTTTTTGCTGAGGAAGACTGGCCCTGCTAACATCCGTGCCCATCTTCCTCCACTTTATATGGGACGCTGCCACAGCATGGCCTGACAAGCGGTGCATTGGTGCGCGACCGGGATCTGAACCTGCGAACCCCAGGCCGCCGAAGTGGAGCACGCGCACTTAACCGCTGCACCACCGGCCGTCCCCCAGAGATTCTTATTTTTTTAACGACAACTCACACAAATGCATGCATTCTCATGGCAGAAGATTAAAGCAAAATAGAAATATAAAAAATAAAACACTGAAAGTCTCCCTTCATCCTGTTCCTCATCCTAGTCCCTTCTACGTAGGGTTATTTATTTATTTATTTTTTGGTGAGGAAGATCAGCCCTGAGCTAACATCCATGCTAATCCTCCTCTTTTTTTTGCTGAGCAAGACCGGCTCTGAGCTAACATCTATTGCCAATCCTCCTCCTTTTTTTTCCCCCCAAAGCCCCAGTAGATAGTTGTATGTCATAGTTGCACATCCTTCTAGTTGCTGTGTGTGGGACGCCACCTCAGCATGGCCAGAGAAGCGGTATGTCAATGCGTGCCCGGGATGCTAACCCGGGCCGCCAGTAGCAGAGCACACACACTTAACCGCTAAGCCACGGGGCCAGCCCGTAGGTTTATTTTTAATATTATGACATATGGTCTTCCCAGGCATTTTCCTAAGCACTACAACATATACATACATATGTGTACGTATATATCTGTTTAATTTTTATTTTAAAAACATAAATAAATCATATTATAAGAACTGTTTTTACTCAAAAAGTGGGATTGTAATATAGCAGTTTGTAGCCTACTTTTTCCTCTTCATATTATGTTAATACATAGAGCTCCACTTCCTCCTTTAACAGCTACTTAAAACTTCATTGAATGATTTTTTGTGATTTATTTAATTAGTTCCCTACTGATGGTCATTTGAATTCTTATTTTTCCCTATTATAAACAATATTGCAATAAAGATCCTTGATAGGAATATATTTGCCCACATGCTATTTCTTTAGGTCAATTCCTAGAAGTAGATTTTTCTGGGTCAAAAGATACACATACATTTAAAATGCTGAAACACATTGCCAAACAGCCCTCCAAAATGATTTTGCCAATTACATTCCCAACAACAGTAAATGAAAGTGTCTTTCCTCACACCGATTACTAATCTTTTAATGTTTTCCAATTTAATAAGGAAAAAATGAAATCTCACTGTTTCAATTTGTGTTTCTTTGATTAATGAGGTCGACAGACTTTATGTTTTTTGGCCATTTGAGATTTTTCTTTTATGATTTCTAAGTTTGTCTGTTGACATGCTTTGCACATTATTTTCATTGGGATATTCTTAGAGATTTGTAAAAACTCTTTACATAGTATTATTACATAGTTAAGTAATATGTCATATATTGAACTTTTTCTTTCCAGTTTCTCATTTACTTATAACTTTTTTTTTGTCTTTTTCAATGTGACTTTTATGTAGTCAGATCTATTAATATTTTCCCTTATGCTTTCTGGCCTTGGTGTCGTGCTTACCAAGTCCTTCTCTACCTCAAAATCATAAAAAATTCTCTATTCATACATGCACACCAAGAATGCCATATCTGTAAGTTAGCAAAACCAAAACTATTCACATGAAGAAAAGCAGTATGTGCTGATATTGACACTCTAACAATTATGAAAAGTTCCCCTTCCTCAGTGATATTTTGTGGTTTACAAAGTGGGACACAAAATGTACAGATTATTTCCACAAAACAGTACTGGACTATTTCCAGTTATGGAATTAGCTAAAGAAAAAAAAATAGGCTAAGCTGTGACTGCCTCCTTCTTAAGATAAAGTAACCATACCTACTGGCCCTGGAAGTTTTGGTACTAGAAGTAGAAAGAGCTGATACTCAGTCACTCTACCCACAGTTAACCTGGCCTGTTCAGAGCACGGAGCATGAGCAGTAATGTGGATGTATACCTCTGTACCCTCAGGAAACACAATGGGAATGGAGTGGACTTTGGTAAAAACAAATGCTCAGTTCTCCAGCTGCCAGACTTTTATTAAATTCCTTGTTAAGTGGCTAAAGTAACTGGAGAATAATGCTGATAATTAGCAATCAGTTTACAAAGGATAGTCTTTTTTGCCCCAAATACTGAATGCTACAAGGACTGTTACTCAACAAACTTCTCCCAGCCCCTTCTCCCCGCCTGCTCTATCTGAAGGGGCAATGTAACACAGTTCTGGCCAACAAGATAGAAGAAGTTTGTTGGAGAGGATTCTGGGGAGCTTTTACTTTTCTGACAAAAGAAAACAGGTATGGCTGACACTTCTCCTTTCTCCTTCTTGCCTCAAAAGCATGTTTGATGGCTGAAGCTGCAGCAGCCGTCTTGGGACCACAGGGGAAAGACCAAGAGACATTGGCCCTAATATCACTGAGAAGGGAAAACCATTGCCAATAATTGCCTGCCACCCCTAGAATTATTCTGTCAGAAAAATAAACTCATTTGCTTATGCCTCTGTAGTCAGGTTTTATGTTTCTTGCAGACCAAGCCCAACATAATCCTACATAATACAGTCATTTTCAAATAATCTTTATGTCTAACATGTAGTAGACCCTCAAAAATTATGAATGAATAAATATAATTCTGGAAAACTAAGTGCCCCTGGGGTATTAGGTGATTCAAGAAAAATCCTGACTAAGAATGACAAAAACTTGATTTCCAAATGATCTAGTAGTATTCAAAATAATTTGATTCAAAAGATGTTACTAATATTTAAACTAGGTTTCACTTTATGCCTGGGATAAAAATGTTACCTTAATGGGTTTGTTTTAGTTTTTAAGCATCTAGTTTTCCTTTCTTGCTGAAGTAATTTTTTTATGTCATCCTAACAGAGAATCTAAGATGTGCTCATTTTACTCTCTAATTTTTAAAAACAGACTAGATCCGGAAATGAATGAAAAAAAACAGCCAGGCATAAGCATTCACTTGCAAAGCACAGGAGAGCATATGAGGTCACGAAGTTCTGAATATAAATGTACTCAGAACCATCCATAAGCTGTTTTGTAATCAAAGCACTGAACAAAAGCAAACAAAAAATTAATAATCGCTGTGGTCACCTAAGCTTTCAGATCTGCTCCTTTTTTAAGCAGGGTTGGGGGTGGAGAGGAGTCTGATGGGGTTTAGTAGCAAACCAAATACTCTCAGACAAAAAGGTTAAATGTAGCTTGACGGATAAAACTGGCAAAACCCATATATGCCTACCTTACGACCAATAATTTCACTTGGTAAAGAGTTATGTTTAAAAACGTCTACCACAACATTATTGACAAATATAATTTAAAACAATCTAAATTTCCAACAATTAGTGAATGGCTAAATAAGTAATATTATAAAAATATTACATAGTCATTTAGGGCCAGCCCCGTGACTTAGCGGTTAAGTGTGCGTGCTCCGCTACTGGCGGCCCGGGTTCAGATCCCAGGCACGCACCGACGCACCGCTTCTCCGGCCATGCTGAGGCCATGTCCCACACACAGCAACTAGAAGGATGTGCAACTATGACATACAACTGTCTACTGGGGCTTTGAGGAAAAAAGAGGAGGAGGATTGGCAATGGATGTTAGCTCAGAGCCGGTCTTCCTCAGCAAAAAGAGGAGGATTGGCACGGATGTTAGCTCAGGGCTGACCTTCCTCACCAAAAAAAAAAAAAAATTACAGTCATTTAAAATTTTTGAATAATTTTAATGACATGAAAATGCTCACAGTATACAAAATATTTAAAGAAAAAATTCACAACAGTAGAATATAATTTTAATTATATAAAAAAGAAAAACAAGAACATAGTGACAGGGGACTCATAAAGACTGAAAGGAACTATTCTGAGATGTTGACAGTGGTTCTCTCCTGTGCATGTGTATATGCACACACACATTTCCTAGCTCTGTACCCTGAGAGGGCCTACAAACAACACCCAGTAACAGAGAGCACCCCAAGCACCCAGATCTTGGTTTCTAAACACCACAATCCACTAAAAAGAATCAAGGCTCCTTGCAAAAAGACTGATTGATTCCAGGGCTGGAACAGGGAAAGTATAAGATGAGCCTAGAATACCATGTTGTGCCAGAAAGTAAGGAAGTACCCAAAGAATGATCACAACATCTCAAAAGGATACAACCCAGCTTGAAGGGGCTTCCATTAATCTGGGACAATTTTAAACGAAAATAAATAATGACAGTAACAGATTATGATTAATTGAATAAAACAGGAAAGCATGAGTCTATACCAATATAAATGAATGGTAAATAAATGACGAAGGGATATGGCTACACAAGTAATAGTATAAAAATATTATGTTGTAGTAGAATGCCAACTAATTAATATAGAAAGAATTAGTCTTCAAAATATGCTTATCTCTGAATTGTAACATTATGAGTACACTTTTTTCTGTATACATTTCTATCTTGTTTCAGCTTTATAAAATGAGCATGTACTTCTTTTATAAAAATACTCAAAAAAAAAAAAAGAAATCCTCAACAGCAACGTGAACAAACACAACCTAATGCACATCTCTAAAGCAATCTCTAGAGCCATTTGAAAAAGGAGAGCATATGCATAAAACCCCCAAACACATAAAGCAAGTGCACGTGCTGTCCTGACCCATCTGTTTAGAGAAGAGCTCAGATGTCCTAGGCAGGTGGCTAAAGTTAAAAACAAAACAAAACAGCAAAAACAAAAACAAACCACCAGAGGCACGCTGAGATTTATGGAAATTTTGTTTTGGTTTTATAGTAATTATGGGAGTGAAGAGATGTGACAAGGACCCTTGCTATGATGCCAATGACAAATGGTCAACTGATAAGAAGAAATGGAGAGGGCGACAGGCCATAGAACAGGTCAATATCAGGCTGTCATGAAGCCATTTGAGACATACAGTTAATCTATTACCCACCTGGCATCATCATTCATTGTCGTATGGTCAATAGGTGCCATGAAGCTCAGTAGCTTGCTAAGGACATGAAACCTAAATAAAGCAGGAAACAAACAGGCAGCAACATTAGTAACTATTAACCTAGAAAAGGAAACACATTCTGCTAACAAAGTCCAGAACCGATCACAAGAACATTTGGCTCCAGAGTGGAACAGGGAACAATTCACAGGCACGCACCACTCACAACTATATTTCCCCCTTTTCCCTCAATGCTACAGGAGAAAAGTCGGATAACAGCACATTGTAAATGACAGTTATTCAACACAGATCATCTGTATCACAGCGCCCAAAAAGAGGAGATACACTTGTGCCTGTGAGCAATATACTAACCCTTAAACATTACTCTAGGCAAAAGACAGTGAGGACCTGACTCCTCCATTTTCCTCCTCTACATACATCTTAATCATTTTTTAGTCTCATTAAAGCCACCTACCGGCAGTAGCACAGGCAGAGGTATAACATTCGAACGCAAAACCTCATCACCACCATCACTCACTAGCACTGGTTCCCTGAGTCAGAAAAGGCTTCCAGAATTCCACATCATCTTTCCTCATTAGCTCCACTGGGTCTTTCATTTCCCTCCTCTTTAAATGAAGGAGCACAATGAGTGCATAAGTTTGATCCCTAGATCTACAGTCAAGGTGTAATGGAAATCACCTCCACATTCTACCAATAGAAAAAAAAAGGTATTTTTTTTTTTTTTT